ACGAGAGAGGTCAACCATCGGTTTTTCGAACGCAACATCGCATCAAACTCACTCCGCTAGCCAATTACGTGAGGTAAACAACCTCCACCTAGTCTCGGCTTGGGTGCAAGTGTGACGAACGAATTGGGCTCATAACCTGCGAACGGAGGCCGATGTGCAGTACGATGTAGACATGGGATGACACAAAAGAATAAGCTAAAAATTAAAAGGGGATTCTACGTCTACCTCGTTCTAGCGAGTCCCGGGAGGTTCACCTCGTGATTGCCAACCACCAGCTGGTTTTGGCTCCTCTCGCACACAGGATGCAACAATTGACAGCCTTGCGAGCTTGAAGGTTGCGAAGCAGCAGACGATTTTGTTGTTATTTGTCGCAGTTGTTGTTCTTGGCGCTTTGGCTACGGTACTGTTGACAACTCGGCTTCGTATGGCCTGTCAAGTTGAACGATGCTATCCCTTTGAGAACACCAACAGGAAGAATCAAGTTTGATGAAAGCAGTGACCAACCTTCAGCTCCTGGAAAGTCCTTTGGTGGGTCGATTGTTGTTTTTGTTCCAGATGCGGTCGACTCATTGGACTGACTCATGGCTTGACGTAGTGTAGCCTTGACCCTACCGTATACAAAAGTTTGGTTGACTCTCGTCGATCTGCGGCGTCATTTGCAAAAGGCTTCGCATCGGCAGCTAGCAAAATGTCAACTCCTTCCCTCAACTTAGACTCTAATTGGGACTCCAAGAAGGATTTCCCGCCTGAGATATTTTCTGAGGCAATTAAAGATCTTAATGTCAAGGCAAACCGGTCTCGCGACAGTTTTGGGGAACCTCCTCTTAATTAAATATACTCACACGCAGCTTTTCCACGAGATCCGAGATCCAAGAGCCGAGATCGGCCTCATCATTTTTTAACTTGGAAAAAAGAAAAGGCAAGTATAATCCATCACGGAGGACGGATGGCCAATAGTAGCATTTCCTTGGCCAGGATCAGGAGTACGGTACCGGTACCGTAAGAGACTAGAAAATACGAAATAGTCTTGTATTCTGATACTGAGGCTTGATACTACCGGTAGAGGTCATTGGATACGGTAGCCGTACCGTAGCTCTCTTGTGGGTTGTTGGTGTCTCCTCGCTCCTGTTGCCTTTCATTCAATGACATGACTGTCACTCGACGGCGATCTGCTCGGGCTGATGATACTACCAGTACGGTAGTAGGACTGGACTTAACTCCTCCTTCCTTCGTATCTGGCTGATAGACTAGACTACATGTAGTTTTAAAATAAGAACATCGGAGACTAAGCCTTGCTCTTTATAATTGTCTAACTTGACCGTCATGATCAGCGGCCAAGCCAAGCCAAGACATGGCTGTCCTTGCCATCCCACCTTCCACATACAGTGTTCAATGGCTTCTAAAGTTGATCTCGGTCTGGATCTTCCGGATCTCGGCCCTCTCGTTCTGGCTCGAGAGCTTGCCCTCAACTGCGGCCATGCAAGTTTTGGTTAGCCTAGCTAGCTACAACTGGTAGAACTTTCGGTTTGGATGATGCAACTTGACGAGGCTCAGCAGCTGTGCCCACTTCTTTTACTACTGGGGACTGGGGAGTGCCTCAAACCAACTCATTGTTTCTTTTGATATCTTCTCCCACCTTCCTGTTTTATTGGACAATTCCTTTAATTAAGTCTTTTATGTATTAACCATCTTTAACCATCTTCCACCGCCTGCAACCGCCTGCAAGCGCCTGCAACCGCCTTCAACCGCCTGTTTTACCGCCTCTTTACCGTTTGTTTACCGCCTTCGACCACCCTCCACCGCTCTTTACCACGCTTACCCACTCTTACCCACTCTTACCCACTCTTAACCACTCCCTGCCGCTTCATTGTGTCCGTTGTGCCTATTTTTAGCGATTGCTTGCATGACTGTATTCAGGTGGTTGGGGGTATATTCAAACAGAGAAGATTGATTTGAGGCACCCCCCTGTCATGGTTGGATTGGATGGGTCACAACGTCACAACCACCTTGGTGTCAAGTGTCTTCTTTCGCGATCAAACGGCGACTTTCACATCTTTCCCACAACATTACCGCAACACAGGCAAGTTCGAATTCAATCCATAAAGGCAAGCTACTGTAGTACAGTATATACGGTGGCCACCTCCAGCTATCCAGAGCAAACCAAGTCAAGTCAGTCTTTTATTTTAAAAGCTCCTCTTGTCTTGAAAGCTCCTCTTGTCTTGTCTTGCAAGCCAAGCCAAGCTTAACTGAAGCGATCATTGTCTGCTACTAGCGGTAGCGGTACATGTAGCTAGCTAGAAGGACAAAGAATCAAGTCTGAGGTCAGCTATACGGTATGCATAAGTGAAGCAAGCATCTCCTTCTCTTATCTCTACAAACATACAAGTACAAGTACCCAGTACCAGTACAAGCTTCAAGATTCAAGATTCAGCTTCAGTGGGCTTGGCCTTCACACTTTGCTTTTTACCTCATCTTTCTGCCTGAAGCCTGAAGTCTGATCATTGACCTGAAGCCTGACCTCTCAAGCCTCAAGTCTTTCTGCATCTGATCTCATTCATTCATTCATTTGGTCTCATTCATCCAACAAGCCTGGTCTTTGAAAAGATTCTTTCTGCTATTGCAAGCAAGCAACTACGTGGTACTGATACTGTAAATCAGGGAGATCAGGGAGATCAGGAAAGAAAGAAAGAAAGAATCCAAGAGAAAGAGTCAAGATGACTTCCTTTGCCCCCATTTCCTCTACTGATTCCATGAGACGCAATCGCATTGCGGCGCAACAGCACGAACCCGTCATTCTTGCTTCCACGGGAACCATTGTCACCGATTTGCCAGATTCCGCATATCCAATACCTTTGCAAATTGGAGACTACTCGCAGCGTTCGCAGCAACAATCGGTTTACTATTATGAAACAACAACCACCACCTATTCTTATCGAGGAGGATTCTCCACGTCACTCTGCGATTTATTCCAAGATCCACGAGATCGGTCTAGTTGTTGTGCCCTCACGTGCTGTGGAACCTTTCTACAAGATCGGAATCGATTTCTACTCACGGGAGAAATGCCACCGCCCTGGTGGATGCGCATCCTCGTCCATGTCGGAGGATTTGTCCTCTCTGTCATTGTATCGTCCATTCTCGTTGCATTATTCTTCAACAATCAACACTCTCTCCTGGCAGCCCTCTTGCCACCCGTCCTTTTTGTCATGGCCATGTTGCTACGAGGCACGACCATGCGACAACAATTACGAAAACAATTGCAAATTCGCATGATGGAAACAACAAACCCACAATCACAATCACACAACAATGATAACCACCAATCTTCCCAACAGCTTCATCTTTCAACCCGCAGTGAACATTGGTGCTGTGCTTTGGTCAGCAATGACCGTCGACGTACACTCGCACACCCCAATAGCAATACTACTACCATGTCACGCACACAACGCGACGAACACGTTCTCCAAGAAGAGCGACAACGACGACAACAAGCTGATTTTTGTTTCCGTATTTGGCAATTACTGTCGTGTCTGTGCTGTGATATTTGCTGTTTCAGTTGGTGTCACTGGTGTGGCATGTGTGCCACCGGACAAGAAGATCGAGAACTACGACGTTTGTTGCCACCACAAGTCTTTTGGAGAGATTACATTACCTTTCAACCCTACGGGGAATATTATCCCCAAATTGAATGGTTGCGACAGCAGCAACAACAACAGCAACAACAAACGACCACTACCACAACTTTTTGGAATCATTTGGGAGCTCTCTCGCAGTTGTCTCAAAAATTACTGTCGCTCTTGCAATGTTCCATTCTGCTGTTACTCGGAATTGCCACATTTCACATTATCAGCAGTTTTTCCATTGGAAAAGTATTTGTCGTCGTGGCGACATTGGCACAGGCATTTCTCATACTCTACCTCGTCTATTGGCGCCATCATCGAATGGATGTGAGTTTGGATGCCATTATCAAATTCTTTGCTTCGGGGTTCGTGCTGGCCATGACGGCCGCATTGGTCGTCGAACTCATATTGGACGCTATTGGAGAAGTCATTTTCAGTATCGTCATGACCAACGAATACATTCAAGATCATCCCGAAGTACTCACCATGGACGATGATTACGCCATTGCACATGGACAAGTGGGACCCTTTTCCAACATCGAAACCTTCAAGGGCATGGCACAAAAACACTATATTACCTTGCTCGTTTATCTATTTTTCAAGGCCGTCGTCGTGGCAGCGTTGGTCGAGGAAATGACCAAGTATTATTGCTTTTGGATGGTCGAACATCCCGATTACATTTATGGATCACTTCGGCATGTCAATCCGGAAATGGGAGAAGAGGGAGCGTTTTGCAATCATCCCGCTGACAATAATAATAATCATGGCACTACAAATACAAATACAAATACAAATACGACGACGAGCCAACAACAACAACAATGCGTCGTCACGCCACCCACGTCCCCGTCCGAATCGGCCACCACGGGAATGCCGCCCTTTCGACCACGACAAACACCCAATCACACCACGGCGGGGGCAGCCATTACCGTCGGTATGATTGCAACCGCTGCTGGATTTGCTTGTTCCGAAAATCTCATGTATGTCTTTAGTCAGAATTCCGTGGCGGGAGGTGAGTACAGTACAGTGCATCGAATCGAATCGAATCGAATCGAATGATTCAATCGTATTGTAACGAATCGCTCGTGTGGCGTTGCTTGCTTGCTTTGTACTGGTACTGTGGAGCCCTGCTTCTACGTACTCATGCGAACGAACGAGTGCATGCGGATTGCGAGAAATGATTCAATCGCGTTTTGCTTGGAGACGACTCAACTCTCACCCACGCCACTTGCATTTTCTTCACGTCGTTTTGGGATGAAAGAAATCACGGTTTTAATGGTTCGAAGTGCCTTGCCTGTACACTCGATATGTGCCGCCATTCAAAGCATCGGGGTAGTACGGCGGGATGTGGAGCAGGATACCGACTACAAGATTGGATGGGCCATCTTTCCGGCAGTGCTTTTGCACGGAATGTTCGACTTTATACTGCTCTCGCTTTCCATGATGGAATACGTCTGGTCTCCCTCTTCCAGTAGTAGCACCAACAATAATAGTCAAGGCGGCGACAACAACAACAACAGCCAACACAGCAATGCCGGGGCGCATGACGATTGGCTTGGAACCAACGATGACGAGTACCCCGCCCCAGAGGAGTATTCGGAAACGTTTGCTGAACAAATGTTGAGTTTCAGTGTCGGGGCCGCCATTACCATGATTGGCGTCGTTTATTATGTGAACGAGTCAGGCAAACAACGACACCGACTACAGGCTTTGGAAATGACAACCGCAGAAGTGCCATCGACTGCGGGGTTAGTGTTCACGTAAACTGCTGTGATAACAATTAGTATCGACTGCACCGGTTCTCATCAGAGCTCTCTGAATGATTCAGAGCTCTCTGCAATTTTGCGTTGCCCACGCCCTGATATCTGCATGGCGGCAATGTCTAAAACTAATGATTGCACCAGCATCCCATGGTCATCCATTCTCATGCAGACATTGCAGCACACCAGTTGCCCATACGTACCGGTAGCAGTCGCTCATCATGGGCATATTGGAGGCAATCCCTTCGGGATTGCCCTCGGTCGCCTTCTCCTTCTGCTGCTCATCATCCATGGTCAAGTGGTTGGTTGTTGGCTATCTCTCAGTCCGGATGGACTGGGGGAGAGCCTCACAACGCTTGAGCTGAGCATGACCCAGAAGGAGATGTGAAGTCTAGGTCAGGATTGAAACCTGAACCTGGACTGAAAGCTTCTTCTGACCACCGGGTGGGCGGGTGTTGGGATGCAGGAAAACGAAGGCTTTGTACATCAACTGTTGTTGGTGTACAAAGACAAGAGAATAAGCACTTGGTGCTTGTTATCTTGTTGGTGCCAGCTCATCCAATGCCAATGCTGGGTGAGCAGGCACCACCTACACTTACCTGCCGGTCATGCTGGCTTTAAGGTTGTGGACCCTCATTTGCTCTGCTACTGGTGCTTCACTATGAATGGAGTTAGTCTCTGCCGGACAATCCCTTCGGGATTGCCCTCGGTCGCCTTCTCCTTCTGCTGCTCATCATCCATGGTCAAGTGGTTGGTTGTTGGCTATCTCTCAGTCCATCCGGACTGGGGGAGAGCCTCACAACGCTTGAGCTGAGCATGACCCAGAAGGAGATGTGAAGTCTAGGTCAGGATTGAAACCTGAACCTGGACTGAAAGCTTCTTCTGACCACCACACAAAGCACCACACAAGTGGAGCGACCCCTGAAGGCGAAGGATGCCATGAGGAGAGGAGATGGTGACGGAAGAGATAGGAGAAGAAGAGGAAGGAAAAGTGGGGAGGAAATGTCGAGATGGGCCGGTAGTGGATGGAGCCGGAATGATGCGGGGATGGCTCGCTGATTTAAGGAAATCGTGGGAGTGATTGGCGTATCGTGGGGAATCAATTTTTGTCGGAGTGAATGACAAAGAGAGGGTCAACCGTGGAGTCTGTCACGATTGTGGAGTGGTGGAATCGAAAGGAGGCACTCGATAAGATACCATAAATTTGGTGAATGCCAAGGTAAGTAGGTAGAGAGTCGAATTTGTTGTTGGACTGGTGTGCTTCTCACTGGTTGTGTGTATTGATTGCAAATTTTGATGTAGGTGGACAAGAAGTTGAGTTGAAGTGTAGAACAATGGCTGGTTCGGATACGGAAAGTGGGGAAGGAGGATCGCCCCGAGGACGCTCGGGTAAGGAGAGAGCAACTGATGTGTTTGCTCGAACGCAGAAGTTTGTGATCCTGGCGACGGCTCAGGGATGTGATGTGTCGGAACAGGAGATTGAGGTGTGGACGCCGAAGTTTATGAGCGAGATGAATCCGGAGGTGATGGCTGGGATGGAGGAGGCCAATCGGTTGCGAGCTGTGTTTGGTGGTGGGGCGCCGATGATGACGCCGGAAGGGATGTGGTCGGACCACTTGGAGGCTGCGGATTCGGGGTTGGCCCCCGGAGTGTGGCAGGTGATGGCCCGCGACAATTTTTGGCGAGGAGTGGTGGAGGGTGGAGGACGGGCCATTGACGCCGTGGGACACCTTCCGTCCTAACGTGATGGGCATGGTGGCGGAGGATCTGCGCGAGGCTATGGCCGCGCACAACCATGAAGCCAACATGAAGCGCTTTATCAAGATTCGGAAGAAGGATGCAGCGCAGGAGGTTGCGGTGGCGGTGGTGACACAGGGCTTGGCTGATGTGACCGCTGGACGAGTGGAGGGTGGTCGTATTTTCGATCAGATGAAGGCGGCGTATGGTGAACGCAAACGCGAGCGTGATGACGCTATTATGGAGCGTGCGGTGCGTATTCGGTCTGGCGAGGACGGTTGGGCGAGTGACAGTGAAGGAGCGGCGGAGCCGTGGGACACTGCTGTGTTGCCCTGAATGGTAGCCGTGGGCGCTGCGCTGAATGGAAGTGTGGCGTCTGGCAAAGCTGATGTGGGAGAATATAGCTGCGTGGGCGTGGTCGACGAAGAAGGTATCGGGACCCTGCGGTTGCTCGCGATGGTAGGCATTGTGAAGAGAGCTTATTCAATTGGAAAGAAAAATAGGTGTAAAGACCATTGCGGCGATTTATTGATGCCGGTACAGGAAATGGCACGATATTGGCAATTCCGAGTGGAATGGTTGGCTGAAAAGAAAACATTCGTGGATAGTGACGTAGCTTATAACCCGTATTAGGGTCGCGCGTTAATATCCAGAAGGTAGATATACCGGCTTGTTTCGTATAAGCCTGAGCGATCTGGCGGAGGATCGCTGGAATTTTTTGAGTGGGGTTGGTATCACAACCGCAGATTATGACGCAATCGGAAGATGAATTACGGGATTTGTGCCGGTTGATGCGGGCGATGCTGGTGCAAGTGGAATTGGTGTTGGAACAGGTCGATGGAGCTGATGATGTGACTGGGACCACTGCATCGTGTGAGAGTGGGGATCAGATGGAAAATGAAAGTGACGACGAGAGTGAGCTTCGGGTAGGAATCGTAGCTGACCAGTATGAAGGGAGAACTGGGAGAGTGACGAAACGTCGAGGAGCTACGCAATGGTATGTGCGATTGGATCGCAGAGGTGGAGAGTTGCGAGGACCAAAGGTGTACAAGTGTGAAAGTAGTTTGAAGCTATTGGAGTAGCTGGAAAGTGAATTTTGTTTTAGTTTATGAGGAGGGCGCCGCGGAACGCGGCTACTGTGAAGTCCTCCACCATGGTGTCGGTCTCACGGAGATAGTGATCGACACTCTCAGGTTTCCAACGAAGGCGAGCGGCGATCGCTGGAATGTCGAGGCCCATGGCACGAAGCACTAGGGCGGCGAAAACTCGGTTGGAGTGAGTGACGATGGCTGTGATGTGTTTGCGGTAAAAGTGATTGGGATCAGGGTAGGCATCGATGCAGGCTTGACGCATGATTTTTTTGATGTCATCATCCTTGAGGAAAGTGTAGCCGCGAGGGTCGGAGGAGTCTTGGAAAACACCAATCGGCTCATGGGGCTGAACACCTAGTAGAATAGCGCGGATAATAATAGAGATAATGGCGTCAATAGGGCAGAAGAAGCCCGAGCCACGACGGTAGCGCTTGAGTGTGAAGTTGCGGCCGCTCTTGTCAAAACGCCAGCGTACCTCAAGTTCGAAGATGCGGTGTTGATGGAAGAGAAAGAGATCTTTCGAAGGGTTGAGAATATGGCGATCGGCGGAGTAGAACGTGAAGTCATCACGGGTGAATGCGATGGGCGTGCCAGCCCATTTGCCGGCGGCTTTGGTATTGGGAACTTTGGAGTATTGGCCCGGTTTGCGCTGTTTTGAGCATATTCAGAGCACCGACAGCCGGAGAAAGCACCAAAGCGAGTCCAGTCGAAGACTGCAGCTTTCATGCCGAGAGACGCCGCAGGATCAAGGGCTGATTGGGCGTCCAGTTGACGAAAAAGGTTGCGGAACATGGGAAGAGTGAAGGGTTGGCGTTTTTCACGCGGTTGTTGCCATTTTTGACGCTGTTGGATTGGGTCATTGAGGAAAGGAATAAGTTGTGGTTTGGCTCCAGAGTGGATGTAGAGAGAGAAGGGCGCGGTGACGACGGAGCGAAGGTAGGCATTGGCGGCTGAGATGTAGCCGCGGATGGTGTTGGCCATGATGGGTTGTTTGGAAACCGGATCAATGCGGTCGAGAAGAGCTTCGACGTAGGCTCGCATGATGGAGGGGATCTCGGCTGAATTTAGGGATCGTACGCGATCCTCTTGGTATCCACAAGCGGATCGGAGCCAGGTACGAAAGTGGGTAGCTCGAGAGTCCATAGTCTTGTCATTTTTGTTTCGTACCATGCCTCGGTCTGTTCGACCGACACTAGCGTGGCAAGAATGGATAAAAGTTCGCATGGAATGGGGCAGATCGGTAGGGATTGCAGCGCTGGAAGTCCCTCCATAACGGATGCCAGTGATGGCCATTTCTCGAACCGGGAGAGTCGGTCGGCTCCCACATTTTTGATGCCGCGAATGTGACGGCCCTGGACACGGAAGGATTCGGAAGCGAGAGGGTGAGAGAGAAAGGCTTGCAGGAAACGGGCGATACGACGCACAACCGGTCGTTTCGTTCGAGTGGCGTAGCGCATCCATGAGACAGCGAAGTGTTGTCGGCTAGGTTGAGAATGCGGTGGCCACCGGCTGGGATGGGCGGTGTGATGGAAGAAGATGAGTTTGACAGTGATCCAGAGTTCGATGATGATGGCATGAACTCAAGAATATTGATGTGGTGAGAAGAGGTCGATTGCTTTTCGCCATATTGTGGGTTGTTGAAGCCGTATGATTGGGGGAGACCAGCGGCGACGAATTCTGGGACAGTGATACGCCACATGTGTTGGTAGCCTGATGTGCACACCAACCACCCAGACCTAGGTGCTGGCATCGGTAGCGATTGAATAGTGGGGTCTCGAGGAATGATGAGACCGATGGGGCGACTCCATCCGGGGCGTAGCGGTCCATCGAGATGGATCGGCGCAGCGCTTGAAGTTCTTTGATGGTGTGTGGGGAAGGTGAATGATGGGCGTTGGTACCATCGGCGGAGCTGGTAGACCAGGGCTTTGGATACAGATCATTGAAGTGGAATTGAGGTGTAGGGAACGGTAGATTCCGATGGGCTGACATGGCGGCATGGCGAAGGAGGCCGACCAGTTGAGAGCAGGCATGGGGAGTGGAGCCGATGCGGGGTGTGGCGGTTTGTTGGGCGAGAAGCTCATCAAGAAAGATAATTAGTTTCTCGCGCTTCTTGATGGGCCAGATGAGGCGCATGGTACGGGTGTCGATTTCGTAGCCAAGGAATAGAAGGAGATGAGTAACGAAGGCTTGCCATTTAATTGGGTTGATGCATGGGGGCCGGTTAGGGTCGTCCCGAGGGTATGGAGAGAATATAGGCTGCAGTAACGCTGCAGTTGACGAGGCCGAGGAACCACTTGCGGATGTGAGCATTGCCGCTGTCATCAACGAAGGCAGGTTGTCGGCGTTCAGGGACCGGGCCGTGTGGGTTGCGTATGCCGGTGTGCTGAGAGTCTGGAGTGGCTTGGGCGAAGGAGAGGGCTTCGCGAGTTGTAGGTGGTGGTGGTAGAACCACACTTTGGGTGAGATCCTGAATGGGAAGATCGTCGGGAGTGGGGTAGGATTGGGTAAAGTGGGAACGCATTTCGCCTTTGATCATGTAGAAAGAAGGGCTATTGCGAGCTCCAAAGATAGTACCGACGGGAACTACCAGCATGTTACGCCAGACTGTGGCGAAGACGATGGCTAGGTCTGGATGATACAAGACGCGGTGGAAGGCTGCTGAGATGTCGTCTGCCATTTGAAGGATCTCCTCGAATGGGTAAGAAATACGTAAGTTCCAAATCCAGATTAAGTAGCGAATAAGAGCATTACCGTAGTAGATAGGAGGATTTTCATCAGGGTTGACGCCTGGATCATCAATGAATCGGTTGGGGTTGCCCGTGTCGGTGGGCGAGAGAGGTGTTGAAGGGTCGACGCAGAGTCGAGGTTTGTATCACGCCAT